TTTTTTTTTTTTTGTCTTTGTTAGAGTTTACCCGTTTCCAGTTTGCCTACTCCTAGCATGTAGCCCTTCTGATGTCCTGTGAAAACTGGGCTTTTACCATGGCCCTCCTACATTTTTTTTTCCCCTCCCCAAACAGATAGCTTTGCACTTTGGTAACCAATTAATCTAGGTACAAATCACCATAATGTTGTTTTAAGGTCTCAGTGTTTTGAAGTTTTCAGTGTTTGAGGCCTGGTCTATTTCCTGTTTCATAGGGTATACTTCGATTCCCACTGAAAGTGTGGGTAATCTACCAGGAGGACCCTTCCACTTTGACAGGCTGTGAACCTCACTTTTTGTCTCCTTATCTCTGTGGGATTGCTGACAGCTCTGTTTAATTTCTCTGTTCCTACTTGTGAATAGCAAATGCTTCAATGAGAAAAGTCGTGCTAAATGTCTTCTGTGTGCTTTCTTCTCTTAGGATCTTTATTCCTTAAATCTTAGGTGCCTTGGTGACTTTCCATTGCCTTTAAAAATATTAAAACACACTTTAATCCAACATTTTTAGTTACTCTTGTTGTATGGCTAATCTGAGAGAAGCTAATCTGCTATTGCCAGAAAGATAACCTTTTGCCGTTATATTTTTCAATTATTTAAGTGTGAAACGATGGTACCTCGTTGTATTTAATGTCAGAAGAGGAGAGTAAACATTCCTTCCTCCCCAAATAATGATGCATACCACTTTTGAGCACTGAATAATGTTGTGTGTATGTACACACATTTATTTGACAATATTTATCTCTTGTAGGTTGCTTAGCCAAACAATGAAGGATCATCTAGTAAGAGTAGCAAATGAAGCTGAATTTATCCTGAGCAGGCAGAGGGCGGAGGATATTCACAGACATGCAGAATTTGAGGTAAGTTACACATATGCCTGGTGTGAGGAAATTACAGTGTTTTAATGGTAATCATGGGAAATTGCCCAGGTAAAATGGCATTATGGCCTAAGAAAACCTTTTAATTTTTTTAATCAAAATATTAAAAATTAAGCTTGTGAGTGAGTCATAGGGGATTCTGGAAAGTTAGTATATATCTCTTTAGCCCTTTCATCTCAACTCCAGTTCAGCTACGAGTTGATCAGAGTAGCTTCTATGTTTGGCTGTCCTGATCCTAATAATGAGAGGTGGGTCTGGGCTCTGATGATTTTCCAAAACAGAAAATTAGTGAAGGACTTTGGCCCTCTTTGGGCAAGATGGAGCTAGTTAACCAGAAATGAAAAAAAATCTCTATGGCAAAATAAAACACTAGTATGTTTTTTCTCCCTCACACTCACACACGTACCAAGACCCCAAAATACATATAGTAATCAGTATGAAATGACTTTCCATTAGCTTATATTTTGTTTTCAACCCTTTAATAAGATTTTTTAGTTTTGTTCCAAAGAGTATCTATGTTCTTCTTGCAGCATATATTAAAAATTCCCAGATGGTATAAGGATATAGGATGAAAGGTGGTGATATAGTAAATATTTTAGAAAAATATTTGGAAAATTGTAAAAGTGGAACCTGAGGCATATGTGAGAATTTGGTAACCAAGATAGGATATTTAGAAAATGTAAATACAAAAGTAGACATCTATTACTACATATAACTGTTAGCTGAGAAAAGATACCATGAACAACTTGGAAAGACTTAATGCATATGACTGAAAATGATTAATATGTTCACTGTACTGATAATCCTTATTAAATGATAAGAGAAAACAACCCAATAGACAAATACTCTGAGACTATGAATAGGAAATTCACAGAAGAACCTAAGTGACTAGTAAACATATAAAATGATTCTCACACAAATATTCAAGGAAATGTAAATTAGAGAAATTGTGATCTATTGCTTCTTTATTCTCAGATTGAGAGAAAGGAAAAAGAGAGCATTTTTGTATTGCTACTGGGAATGTACATTTTTAGTCTTATGGGAAAGTAGTATGGTCTTATCTATTAAAATAATTATATAGACACACTCATAAACACCCATTTATCCAGTAATCCTATTTTTGTGAGTATATCTCTCAGGCAAGTAAAAGTAATAGTATGTAAGGATAGGTATACAAGACTGTTTATTGCAGTTTTGTATGTAAATTTAGCAAAATAAAAATCAATCAAGGAAAAACAGAAGGAAAATTTTTTTAAGCAAAAGAATCATTATTTTCTAAAAGAATAGGTTAATAAATTATGAAAAAAATTAAAAGGTTGATGGTTTTATGT